GGAGTAGTAGTAAAGTAAATAATTTTATTAGTTTATTATATATATATATATATATATATATATACATTTTGAAATTACCCCAAATCATAAATTACTAAATCAATACCATAGAATTCCACTATAATTTATCAAACTTAGTAAGTAAGCTGTATTTAGGTCTAAAAATATATAAAATTCAAACTTGCAAAAAGAAATAATTTGTTGCCCAAATGCTTAAAAGAGGCTGAGAAAGCCACTAGGGGGGGGGGGGGGGGACATTCTGGGCTTTTGATTGGTTATTCATGCATCATAGGTGTATATAAGCAAGTGTTTCCAAAATTGAAAAGAGGTGGGAGGGGCCACTGTGTTTGATTGAGTAAATGTAGCAATACCTCAGCAAATAGAGGAGATAGGAGGTTCTTATTTTAGATTATAGCTTGTCAATATCAGTAATTCATAAGAAACTATTTACTTTGTATTTGGACATCACAAACATTTAATTTGAACCAATGCTGCATTCAACATACCACGTGACACACAAAAATTTATATTTACTTTTAAATTAAGAAGTTAACTAATGGATAATACTAAAACTTTAGTATAATAATTATAATCTCCAATTTGATACCAAAGTTACTGACATACATTCATAAAATAGAAGTTCAATAAAATTTTAAATGTGAGTCAATAAACATGATGACATGGCCTTTGACCCATCCACATTCATTTGTGTGTATGAATTGCAGCATGCATCTTTTTTTCTTATGAAAAAGCCTGTTAAACTTTACCATTTTTCGTAAAATTCTTGTACATTTTGGCCAAGTGGCCTAGTCTTTGGTATGAAAGTTGGAAAATCTGAGGTTCGAGCCCTTGACACACAATTGAACACACTCCATACTTTCAGCTGTGACAGTTAATCTTGCTATTTGATTAATATTTACCATGGGTGCTGCTAATTGGTTGCCCTTCCTCTCATCAGCAGTTCTAAATTAGAGACAACTATGTATGAACCTTCGGGTTTCTAACCTTGCCATGCTTCACAAAAGTTGCTATTCAGGTTAAAAAAAATACAAAACACCACACCCTGTTTCAATTACTTAATGTTTATAATAAGTTTTAACATCTTTATATATGTGTCATTAAAGGAAAAAAACATAAAAGTGAGGAAAATATTGTTCATAAGAAGAATGACAGGAAACATTGTGAGATTCTCCATTTTCGTTTCACATATCCATCTGAAGAGTTAGACATTAGCTGTTGGAATGCTGATAAAGCATTTAGCTTGTTTAATCACTTCATTAAAACACAAGTACAATAAGCTCATTAGACTTGTGTTCATATCTTTAGGAAGCAAGAAAAAAAAAAGATCTTATGACTTAATTGTGCTACAGTATGTGCTTGAAAATAAAGAAAAACTTATTAACAACTCAGTTTCCCTTTTTTCAATGGTTTACTCAATTTTTTGATACATCTCATAGAATGCTTCTTCAAAGGATACAAATTAGTACTGTATAAATGTATCCTTCACAATCTGTCATTTTTTTTTTTCGTTTGTGCCTCCTATGACTGCACAGTGTTTAATATGTATACAGTTCCAAACTATGAACAACTGAAGATTTAGTTGAAAAATTATTTTAATTTACAACCAAATGTCGTTTCACGATTTTTTGGCCCTGCTTTGTTAATATGGGACACGCATCACAATAAAGTACAAAGATCCATATCGCTCTTAATTGAATTCTTCTCAATTTCTTTTTCCCTCCTTTGGCCATTTATGTAAATTATCAAATTATGAATGCATTACAATATCTATTAATTAACACCAATGTATAACTGACGAAAGAAAGATAATCAATTGACCAGTTCAGAAGTTAGTGAAAAGTAAAGAAAACTTTTAATAATCAACTAGTTATGTATTATAAAACCATAATAAATCTAATTACTGTAAAGCACAATATAAAAACTACTCATAAAATACTGTAAAAATATACAAGCACAGATTCACAGATTTTAAACAAAACATTAATTATTAAAAGCATTTCAAACCCTAATCTGGGATTTTCTAAATATTTACCATCTCTTTTGTCATACAAGTTATGGTGCACATATCTTTAGAGATATACAAGTAATTTGATGTATCATAAAAAAGGAGATACATCAAATTTTGTAACCAGAAATATTATTCTTATATAAAAAAAAAAAAAATCTGTTTTTTTTGTTTCTTACATATAATGAGTGATTGTACAATTAACAACTTTGATAACAATAAATTTACAACAAAATCAATAAGATATAATACATATAACTACATTACTACATTGTGTCCCATAGCTTCGAAATCCACACAAAACAAAATTCAAAGGCTTACTTGATCCTGCAATCGTATTACAAGATCCAGTCCAGTACTTGAGTGAGCTATATGGTCAAAAAACAAAACTTCTTACCACATTGTTTATGTTCATTATGTTATCTTGCTTTTCTAAATAGTATTTTCCTTCTATTTAGCATATCTAAAGTTGCAAACATCTATATCAATTGTTTAATAATGTAAAAAAATTTGAAACAAAAATTTTAAATGCCCATCTTCAGGTGTTCTCAAAGCATAATACATGATTTATTTGTTATCTATTATAAATTCAAAATATGCTTTAGTTTTTCCTTAACTTTCCTTACTGCATTATATAACTATAGTATTTACAACTGAGTTCTGAAATGATTTGCATTACAAATGTTATGGAATTCATTAATAGCCAGTAGGAATACATAATCCAAGTAAACAATTATTAATCATGGTAAAAATGTGAATAAAACATTCAAATAAAGGTCAATGATTATCTGAAGTCTGTTTTATTATTTTATTACAAACCAAGTAAAATTATGCAACTGTATAAATAAAATCACCTGAAGATAAGCAAGTACATTTATTAATATCTTTCATCAGGAAACAATGTTAATTTCAATTGTAGTGTGTGCTTAAAGCAAAACCTTAGTTTTCAGTAATAACTATAACTTAAAATTAATGAATTAAAAGAAAGGTGATAAAAACAGTATTGTTTCAGAATATCCCAACTGCTTTACATAGTTTACACCAAAAACTGTTAAAAACAAGTGGAAATCCTCAATAGCCACAGCACTTTAAATTATTTTAGGTAGGATTAGAGTAAATTAATCTACTAGACCTTTCCCCACCCTCATGTCATCTTGTATAAGTATCAAGTTTGATGCTGATTGATCAAGAAATGTGGAAACATATAAGGAACACACACACAAACATATTGATGTTTATTTATATAGATTAAATGGGGGGGGGGGGGGTCAAGGTTCTAAATCATAAGAAATACGTAGCAAAAACCAAAACTGACAAAGATTTATCAGTGATCTACACAACCTAACCTTTCACAATGGCATCAAGTCAGGTAGTTAACACTATTTTTGCATGATTACACGTTCTCGACCAAAATCAATATATATCTAATAAATATATTTTTTCAATAAACAAGTTATTTTAATTATGTACATTGTTTTAATAAAAAAAATTTAACAATAATATTCAAGAAATAAAGATTTGAGTCACCAGAATATTTTGTCATCACCTACCATACTTTCTAACCCTAGTAAAACTCAGCTGATGCCTTGCCATAAAAGAAAACTTCCACAGTTTTCAAAATATAATTTAACAGAAAACTATTCTCACAGAACCAAAATTACTTCTCACTGTAACTATTTTCAAAACTGTTTTTAATTAATAGTTGTTCCTGCCCATTTACAACCTCACAGCATGTAACGTAAAGAAAGGCCTATAATAAATTTTCAGACAGAAAAGAAAAAAATCACTCGTGAAGGAAATCTGAGTTAATTGTATTCCCATGGAATGATGGTTATTAGCAAATAAAAGCCTATGCATTGGGATGAACAGAAAAAAGTCTGAAAAAGCAGGGCTTTGTTAATAGTTGATCTGATCACATGCTGTGAGGTGATTAAAAGATATAAACAAAAGACTGTCCTAATAAAATCACATACAGAAGTAGGTTTTTTTTTTGTCAGGGATAGAGTAATTTTCGATGAATCTGAAATTGTCAAATATCACTTGCATATGAAGTGTAGTGTTATCAAATATCTAGTGATACACCAGTGGTGACATTACACATTATAAATAAAACTTTCCATCTGTACACAAAAATTTTATTGTTGTTCTGGTCCACATAGGAATTTTTCTATTCTAGGGTGACCACTGTTGCTTTCACTTTTTCCCTCTACACAGATTTAAGGGGAGTAACTGCTCCCCTAGTTCTTGTACCACTGTTTACTTCAGAAACATAGCTCTGAGAATTGTATTCGTGAAAGATAATAGTTTCTTAGCAAATATAAAACTGTTTTAAAATGGAGAAATTTTCTGAAGAAATCTATAAAAGTGTTGTTTCAAAGCAAGGCTTCTTGAAACTGTGCATAAATGTAAGAATGAAAATTTTTTCATTTTATTTTGCAAATTACTCTAAATAAATGTTACAAGATGAAAAAAATTAATTCTAAAATTTTTTTTGGTAAAACTGTTAATTATGAAATACTACTGCTATTTAAATATTGAAATTTGATATGCAGGAGTGTACCCGATACCTGAAGGAATCCCAACAACTAAGAAAGAGTTAAAATCTAAGTATAAACATGAAAGGTAATATTTTATTGAAAATAGAGAGAGAGACTAATTAGAAAAATCTGGTGATAAATAAAACTAACAAGAATGACAAAAAAAACTATTCAGATATAAAACATAATTAATAAAAGACAGTAATGTGCCTAGTAATTGCTTTAGTAATTCAATGCTTTTAAATGAGGAACAAGGATTATCAATCGTACATAACACAGTCTGGAATTTTTCACGTGTTTGAAGCAAAAATAAATTCAAATATTCTACAGAGAATGTTCTCACTTACTGTGTCCCATTCCATTTTTCTATTATACCGAATTTGTTTAAATCACCCTTTCCAGTAAAAACTGTGAACTCTCCATCATCCGTGTTATTTTTCTAAAAAAATAAAATAAAAATCAGCAAATACTGTATGAGTAACAACTAACTAATGATAACCATTCTCAGTTTTAATAAAAACCTAACTTACTCTTTTGACAGGCATCTTTATGTAATCACTTAACCTTCTTATTACTCTTACATAACCTAATTTTCAGTTACAGTCCTTTACAGACCAAAGAAATCGTGAAATATGTTGAATTAACATAATTTCTATCTAATGACGAACCTTACAAAATATTATCTAATGCTATCATGTGAATAAATTGATAGATTTTTTTTGTGTTACTAATAATTAATATACCTACTAATGTTTTCTCAAGAAATATACAAGTCTCACTTATTATCTTTTTTTTTGATCTTTAGTTTACCTTGTTTCAGTGACTAAGTTAAATAAAAATTTAATTTATTTATCAAATATTATTATTTAGTAAAAAAAAGACTATTTGATCAAAATGTTATTTTTCATAAAATCTTACATTTACCATATTACAAACACATTATTTTTAACCAATTTGTTCTAATATCAGCTTCAAGAAACCTGACAGATTTGTTGATTTAGTGTTCTTAAGTGATTAGTGACTAATGTTAATAGTAAATATTTTGTAGAACTGTTCATTTTGATACTTTTTTTTTTCTCTCTTAGATATTCAATCACTATATAATTTCAATACAAAAATGTATTTGTTACAACTGGGTGAATATCTTAAATATTTATCTTTACTTTTAAAGTTACCCTTTCAATTGTTATCAAGTGTTACTACCAAATTAAACAAATGATTACTTTTTTTCTTTTTACTAAAGTTCAAAAGTATACAACTTGCCCCATACAACCATCCAAAATGTCCATGAGTTTTGGGTACTCCTGAATGGATCAATGGAGCAATCACTGTTAAAAAATTAGGGTAACCTTCATAGACTAGCTGCCAAACACTTTTCTGTACAAAGATCTTCTCTTTCATCAAAAATAAGACAATGGATGCAGCTACTTTTTCCAAAGGAATGGCATTACGTAACCATGCTGCTGCTGCCTGGATTTCCAGGTGAGGTAAAGAAATGTATAATAATAATAACTAGTTTAAAAGACATGAATGTATCATACTTTACATTGTACCTATTACTTAAATCAAACTAATATTACTATTCTGTAAGAAATATTAGAAGGTAACTTAACACAGATGTAGTTTAAAAATGAAAAAAAAAATTAAATCCTGTACAGAACTCTCAAATTACTTCACACCATAAAATCACCTTATTTAGATTTTTAAAAAAAACTGCTAATTTTATGGTTTTGACTCATTCATAATAATCTTTTGTCAATTAGAAAGATCACCTTTCAAGCTTTAACTTACCCAAGTAATAGCACGAATAAAGACTTAAAAGCTAATAAATCTTTACACAAAACCTGAGCCTTTTAATTTGTCAGCAGTACCAATTGTAAGTATTGTTTGTTTTGAATTTCGTGCAAAGCTACACGAGGGCTATCTGCACTAGCCGTCCCTAATTTAGCAGTGTAAGACTAGAGGGAAGACAGCTAGTCATCACCACTCACCGCCAACTCTTGGGCTACTCTTTTACCAACGAATAGTGGGATTGACCATCACATTATAACACCCCCATGGCTGAAAGGGCGAGCATGTTTGGTGTGACGGGGATTCGAACCCGCGACCCTCAGATTGCGAGTCGAGCGCCCTAACCACCTGGCCATGCCGGGCCGTCCAACTGTTAGTAATCAAGGTCCATTATTATACAAAATACTACTCACATTTTAATGGCTTCAAAACTTACAGCAATTAAAAATAAATTACGTAAGCATAACTGGTAAAAGAAAATCTGAAAAATAATTTGCTGAATCAAGCATGCTTGGACACCAAAGACTTGTACACTTACGACCATAGGAAAGTTGATTGTTGTAATGAGGTCATCCTCACCTCCCACTGATAGTTCAGGTCTAAAAACAAATTTTTTTCTTTCCCTGTAGGTAACTGTGTCATTGTGGTGCCATGTAATATTTTCTTTGATCCACCAACTTCTATATAAAAGAGCAAGATATATCACTTGTAGACAACTACTGCAAGATTATTATCTTTAAGAGCAGGTGGGTGATATTACTAAAACCGACAAGTAACCCTGTTGGTCCAAGATGGAACTTGGGTTAAATGGCCAACATCAAATATATATATATATATATATTTGGGTACAATTCCTCTAAGTAGGTCCAAGGGCAGCCCCCCCTCAGAAACTTTTAAAACTCAACACTATCAAAAATAACATTTCCTGTTTTCTGGCCTATTTTTAAACAGCAATATGAATAGAAATTACAGCATGAAAAGGTAATACACATTTGAATTTACATTTTCTAGTTTTTTAAAGTTTTTATTTAGTCCTTCAATCTGTTTTTTTTTCAACCCAACTTACAGAAAAGAATGAAAATAAATTTTGAGTGTTCTTTCCACCAATTCTAAATTCTTTGTTTCAATATCAAAATTTTTTTTGCAAGTACAAAAATGTCTGATGACTACCATTGACATGGGGCAGTGAGCGTGGCTCATGGCTTCATGCTTTAGACTTGTAGTCACATAGTCGCCAGTTTGAGGCTGGTCCATGTCATGCTTTAACCCTCTCGTTTCAGTTCACGTAGCTGTATGATGTGTACCTAGCTGTTAGCTGGAGCTTAACCTGTGATGGACTGACATCCTGTCTAGGGAGAATGGGTCACCATTTTCAACTGTTTGTGCTATCAGAACCAGAGTTCAAAAGTACCAGCCTTGTGCGAATTGGGCATGGCAAGTGTTACCTAACTTTTAAACCATTGATGTAAACAGACTCACAAACACAAAACTAAACTGTTAAATAAAGTGTGTGATACATAACAAAACAGGTATGTTTTATCAAAAGTTTAAAATTCTTAGATGTTAGAGTATATAATCAGAAGGATTTTAATATCACAAGTTCTTTATAATTATATTTGAATAGAAATACGTAGAATTGAGTATGCTATATTATTTTGAACATGCAAATTAGTAAGCCACATAATACCACAGTCAATATAAAGTTGTGGTGAAATTGCACATATCAGAAGTACATTTTGGTATTGTTTTCTGTTTCTTAGGTAGAACACTGCCAATGAAAATTGACCAATTTAGGGAAGAGTATGTAACAGCCTCTTTCTGAAACAAGGTGTTCATACACTCAGGCATAAAGAAGTATTCAGCTTAGAGATTTAGAATTTTCAAAACAGGAATATCCTTTTTACCTAATGACATTGAAAACAAAGGGATATGGATTAACTTGGAACTAATATGGGTAATATCCCCACTGTAGTAAGCAACATGTGGTGTCTTGTAACAGACCAATGATAATATGGGTAATATCCCCACTGTAGTAAGCAACATGTGGTGTCTTGTAACAGACCAATGATAATATGGGTAATATCCCCACTGTAGTAAGCAACATGTGGTGTCTTGTAACAGACCAATGATAAATGTCATCCACATGCTCCAGATAACAATATGCAACATAGTCAAGAAGATCCCAGTCATTTGTATAGAAGTTGCTTTCCAAAGTATCTATTCCACTGTCACATACCTCAAGGAAATGGATAAAGATCCAACTCTGGGGATGAGGCTCCAAAATTGTGTTAATATAATGTACTCAACCTCTGTATGAACAAGCTCTTTAGAACAACTTTGACTATTATATGTTTAACAAATCACCAAATTTTTTTTCTAACACATCTTTAAAAAAAAAAAAAGAAAGAAGACATATTTAGTTTAGCATCCAAAACTTTTAATATGAACTTAACAAAAACATCATTGTAGTCAAAATCAACATAGAATAAGGTCAGTTTTGATGGATGTTATGTGAAGTATACTGTCATTGTGGTAAAAACTACCATATGTAACCATGATTTGTTCATCCCATCAACATGAAAGAAAATCCCACTATTGATCAGCTACTCATTTCAGTGACAAAAATACAAGAAATGGGACTTTATAAAAATGACTTTACTACTCGCAGTCATTAATTCTAAATTTTTTCAATCTTTCTTACTATAGACCAGGAAGAATGTACAGTAGGCCAAGACAGATAAAGAACACTTAAAACTAGTTTGATCATATTCCTGGTCAGACAGTAAAGGGCTTTTCACACAAAGTAAGCTAATTCCACATCAATGGGAAACATGTTCTGCAAGACAACAGAACAGGTTTCAAGTTGAATATAAATTTTAAGCTGAAAATACATAGAAAATGTCACTCTGAAACATAGATTGAAAACTGTCTTTCTTTGACAATGTATTTTGGAAAAATTATTGTTTTATGCAACTAAAAAAATAATATGTAACATTCTCTGCTGTCTAAGAAATTTAAGGGTTTCTTTCACATCTGCAAATTATAGATTATTATTTTTTTAAGATATTACAATTTTTTTATTTTGAAGTTATACCCCACAGCAAAAATTTAATGTATCAGACAAATAATTCAGAATTTAAGAGGTTTATCACTATTCTATAAAAAAATAAGTATATGTCATATAAGTAAGTGATCTATTAACACTGCTGAAGGAAAACAAAAAAGATTGTATAATTCTACACAGATTTAGATCTATTATTTATAAAATCACATATTACAATTGTCATTAATAGAAGTACAGGATAACTCTAAACAGTGACTTGTTCTCCATACTAAAAACATTTGTAAAGAGCTCCTATCAAGTTGTAATAAAGTTATTTTTTGATAGTAAAGAAAGTTAAATAGTAATGTTGTTAACATTATTGCCTGATCTGAGAAATATTCTGTATTTCTTGATGCTAAAGTTTCAAGAAGAACCAAAACAAACATGACTTCACTAAACTATTAACTGAAGATCCAACATTTATCACTCTCTTGTAAGGACTATGTAAGGACATAATCAACTAAGAACATAAGATTCCTTAATCTGCCGTAAAAATATATTAAGTAATATTCTGATGTTAGTAGTAATTACTTTTAAAACAATTCTTGCTTCAAAACTCAATATACAGAAGTTCTTATTCTCAAGTAAAATCATTATGTTAAAAAGTTACTACCAAGTAAACTGATGTCACATTAAAGTTTTGGTTTCAACAGATGAGGTAGTAACAACAAAAGAGTTGTATCAAGTAAACAATGTTGGATTAAATATGTTTTGAGTATTTCAACTGAGAGATGAGAAGGTAATGTTACAATATCAGAAAAACAGTAAAGATACTAATTCACTACTCCAAGTAAAATCTTATTTTTTATCATCAACCTATTGTGGGTTAAATGGATGGGGAAAAGGCTGAGGAAAACATTAGTTCACTTAAGGCATTATGGGATACGTTTCATGCTTTCTTTTGGTGTCATGACCTGATGACTGTTATACAGGTAAGCATCAAGTGCAGAAGAATAAGGCCATTGAAAAGTTCTTCAATTGTCAATTGCTTCAGTGTAGGCTTATGCCTGTTGGTTTAAGAATAAATTTTCAGATCATTGGAGTCTCAAAGCCTGAAAATTAAAGCACCAGGTATTCTCAGAAACACTAGTCTTTGTATCTTTACATTACATCAACTAGTCTTGGTATTATTTAAGCTAGATCATACAAAGGTGACAGCAATTGTTAAAACTACAATAAGACAGTTTAAGGTTAATGTTTTAGTAACAACACAACAACAAACCCACTCAAACATGAAATTTAAGAGAGGCAAAATATCACTAAATAAAGTAAATGAGAACAAGAAGAAAAAATATTATGAGCAAAACCACTAAATTCATTTTCTCTGACTTAATTTCAATGCAAATTAATTACCTGTAAGTGTATGGACCAATTTCCTCAAGCCTAGGTTTGCTAGCTTTCTGGAGAAATTCCTCTGGATTGGTCATATTAAACAAATATACCTTCTGGTAAAGTGGGATAGGAATATCCTTCCATACTTTATATGATATTGACCCATTGGCAAGGGGTAAATTCTGGAGAGGACAGAAAAAAGTTTTATCCACTTCTTTTTCATACGTAAACACTATTATAGACAATAATTAATTTCAACGTGTGCAAATAATTTGAACTGTATTTGTATTTTTTAGTTATATCAAAGCTACTAAGAATATCTGCCTCTGTCCCTAGTTTTGAATTACTGACTAGAGGGAAGGCTGCCAGCTAGCAACATTCTGTCACCCACATTAAGGGATTGGCTGTCACTCTTATAATGCATCTACAGCTCAAAGAATGGAAGATATTTTGTGGGATTGCATACATTCAAACCTGGTTCATCAACTCCAAAATCAAGAGCTCTACCAAATCACCAACCCATGCTGTCAAATAAATTAATAATTTAATGAATGTGAAAAAAAGTAAATTGTTCTATCACTGCATGGTTAATTCAGACAATAGAAATGTCATACAGATCATACAAATATACATAAAATTTAGAAAAATGTTATATACCTTTGATTTAAAAAAAACTTTTTGCACATATCAGAAGTTTACAAAAATAAAAATAAAAAAGATTACTTAAAAATAAAAGACTGGAAATATAATGTACATTGTGCATTAAATTAAGCAGAACAAATATAAAAAGATTCAAAGAAAAAATTAAAACTATTTTAGTGTAGGGACCAATAATTCTTAAAATTTTTTATTATAGTTTTCATTTATGTTACCTTAATTTTGTGAATTTTTAAATTTTTGATGCAAACCATAACTGATAACCTGATTTTGAGAATTTCAAATTACTACACTTATATACAAGTTATAACACTTTTTCATTATTTTTGTAGAGTGGTTTTAAAACCTGTCAAACAAATTTCTTCTCGATATCTTTTCAAGAACTATTGTGCTTTAATTCAAACGTATAGGCTGCATTATTTTCTGACTAATTCGTATGGAATTTTTCTTATGCACTTTGAAAACTTTTTACTCTTATTAACCAAGTCTTAAACTATATTACATAAAACTTATTACAGCCCCACCACTTTCATTACCCAAAACAAATTAATAAAAATCTTAAACATAATTGAATGCAATGTACAGAATTAATCGATAAAAATTATTATAAATAACACTGAAAGACTGTGCAAACCTGTAATTTCAAAGAAATATATAACTCACCTGTTGCACCATGTGACTGAATAACAATGGAAAGCAAAACAATAAAATTAGGCCTAGCACTAGCACAGCAAGTCCTATTCCTCCAGTAATCACTGTTGAGAATTTATAAAGAAACTTATTAAACAAAAGGATAAGTGTATGAACAAAACAATGAATATATGCATAATTTTATGTTGACTACTGATGAACTACACAGAAAGTTAAATTTTATGATACATGCAATAATATTTCAGGAATGACACATAACATTGAACATTTATGGTTTTACCTTTTTTTTCTTTAGCAGTAGCTTCAATGAAACACAAATTCAGCACACACACACACATATAAGAGTAACTTCAATCATTCAAATTACAATAAACTACCATTAAATACACTTAAAATTATTGAGAGGTTAATTATAATTCAGTAACATTTATAAAAGAGCAATATCATAAAGCACACACTTACATGCATGACAAACAACTTTTAATAGTACCAAAAAGAAGGTCCTATCTTAAAGACTTACCTGTTTTTTTAACCCCTGTCCACATTGTTAGTACTGAAAATGTAGTTTTGACAGAAATTGTCTTCTGAGTGCTGCAACAGTAGAATGTTTTACATTATATAATTATGCATCATTTCATTCAGAATAACTTCCGATTCATATATATATATGTATATTATTATTAGCTTGAAAATTAGCAGTTTTATTAAATTGGCATTATTTAAACCATTACATGAAACAATTTTCTAAGTACAAAGTTTATATCTAAGTTTGGCTTAATTTTAATCCTCTACAATGCATTACCTTGAGATGTACTCAGTACTTTAACAACACTAATTTTAAAAAGTAGTACTCAATAAAGAATGGAAGTTGAGTGATTAAGCCTACTCTTCTTCCACAATATCATAACTCCTAAATAATGACACAATGAAAAATTCTACCTTCCAAGTTTAAAATCACCCCAGTTGATTGGCTGATATTCCCTGAGCATTAGCTTCTGGCTTTGTTTTCGGTGTGTTGATAAATATGGCATACATTTAATTTTTATATTTTCTTTTTGTAGAAAATTTTTTTTATGTGACCTTGAACTTTGACATGACCTTTTAACCCCCAAATCAAAGGGTTCATCCCTAGACTCAAAGGAGGTAACCTATGAGGTAGGATTAAAATCTGCCATTTACAACTCTATGGTAGTTATTGTGTAAAAAGTAAATAACTACAAAAGGAAATATAGACTTCATCTTTGTTATATCCTCCCAAAATATTTCCAGTCAGGGGGATAAAAATACCTATTAGCCTCAAAACTGTTAGTTATAACTTGTACGAGGCCACTATTACCAAACTGTGTCAATGTGAATATCAAATAAAACTGCTCACACTCTTAAATCAAAAAGCACACTAATTTATGAAGTACTAAGCATTTCACATAAAATATTTAGACTAACTGATAAGGTAATCTTTATAAACATTAACTTCCTGTCTAAATAAATGGCAACACCTGAATTTTATAAATCCTTCACAAGAAAATCTATCCAGTACTTTACATTTCATTCTCTATCAAAAAATGTTTAAAATGCTTAACTCTTAAGATCTTAATTAAAACTAATAATAATAATGTATTTGGCCTTGTTAAGTTGTACACTTCTATAAAAATATATTGATAAATTTGGAAATTCTTTGAGTTAATCAGAGTTAACAGTCAGCAGTTTATAAGGTACCTTATCATCTCTTTCAATATATTAACTTTACACATAACTAAGATACGTATGCAATTTATATTTACTTCAAGCAGTTAACAATTACTTAAATATGTATCCCTACACTATATCACTAGCTTGAAATGTAACTAATGTTAACATCTTGCCAATTATACATATACTAATATACACATCTAACCAAGTATAAAGGCTACTTCATTAACTCATTACACTTTCATATCCACCTCATCATATATATGTGTACAATTCCAGTTCTTGTTTTCCTGTAACTTACAAGACCTATGTCAATACAAACAATTAGTTTTAGCTAGCTCATTTACTAAAGTTAGTTCAACTAGTGTTAGTTATTTACAAATTGTAGGTTTGATTGCAATTTTCAGGAAGATCAGAAAGTTACAGTACATTTCACTTCAGAAGTTGTCCATCTGAGGATGAATTAGAGAAAGTTGCAAACATTCCCCCCCACTTTTAAAGAGGCTGATAAGAATTTCCTTGAAAGTTATAGGCCAGTCTCTTTTTCTTCTGTGGTGAATAAAGTTTTTGTCTAATAAATAATTAAAAAGAAAGCTTTGCCAAAATCATTTATTAGAATATAATATCATAGAGATTAACTTTTTTGGACAATGTTAATTGTTATCTGAATGAAGGAAAGAGTGTGAACATTTTGTACTTAAGATTTTTCAAAACAGTCCTACTAATAATCACCTGTGATGACCCATAAATACTAGTAAGGCTGATAAGCAGCATATCAGTACGACTTCACAATTTTAAAAAAATCATCAAAAAATGCAACATATGTTCCTTGGGCTTGGTAAGATTCACTGGCTATGGGAGCCATAGCTTAATGGAAACGTATTTTCAGCTCCAAGTGGCATGACGGTCTATGAGTGGTACATACCAGATTGAATTTAGTATAACCCTTTTCTCCTGGTTTTTGGGTACATTTTGCATATAATTATAATACATTCCTTATTAGCCTTTGCAATATTCATTGGTAGTCACAAAAACGCACAAACAATCATGAGCAGTTATTACAATTAGTAGGACCCATTTAAAAAGTTTTTTATAACATTCCACTCAAAAGATTAAGTGAATCACAAAGGTTGGTGTTGAGAAAAGACTAGTTGATTGGAATGTAGGGTGTCTGGAATAGAAAAATTCCTTGTTATTAATATATTTGGACACAGTGAACTAATTTCTACTTCCTAATGATGCATCTCAAGTTCATGTCCATGTGTTATAAGCCTAAACTTTAGGTCTACATCAGTACCTGTATTTGGTACAGTTTTAAAAACTGAAAATTATGGTATCACTATCAGCTTAGATCTTCTTATTAAAAACTCGACAGTATAATTCATTTATATCTATATTCTACATTGTATTTAAACATGCATATAAGAAACTTTACATCTTTCTAAACAACTAGTCTCTTGAAAAGTCTCAATCAAATCTCAAGATTACCCAATCCTAGATCTGCATATTATATGATATACTCAGTGATAATACTAGTAATTACAGTACTAATAATACTATAATAAATACTATATTTTGTCTAATGTGAAAATAAAAATTCGCAAGAAAATGAAGTTATACTATTGGATTACTTTCGAAAATAATAGCCACAATGCCAAACTGATCTCATTCCTAATAATAAGTAATAATACCAATTTAAATTTGATGACGAGGAACACACTTTTAGAAAATAACGTTTGAAGACGGCTCGAATAGCTTGTGAGAAGAAATTTATTACAAACGTACGTTTCGACAAACTTATGTTATGCTCGTACCTGTATCAGGGAGAGACAGCTTATGACGACGTAAGCTTGTCAAAACATTATACATTTGTATTGCAATAGTTTCTTTCACTACCCATTCAAGCCGTCTCCACACTTTATTTAATAACAATATAAATTATAACAAATATGTCAGTGTTAGTCAAACGACACTAAAGAAAGTATTTTTAAAATTTCCAAATATTAAATATTTACATACATATTGTTACGTCTCCGTTCGTTAGTTAATTTTCCGTAAATTCGTTCCGACAAAACTTTAGCGACACAAGTCCTTTGTTAAATAAAACTGGTTTATTCTTTCCGAATACAACTTACGATACACTTAATTTCAACAGTCGCTCTATAACAAACGCTCACGTCTCACGTGACCAACAATATTTTGTTCTCATACATTCAATTACTCATTACCTACACATTATCCCGTCACGTTGTGACCATCCTATATATACCAGGCTACCCCCAATCTAGTAAATGCTAGGGCATTCACGAAGGAACAGGATATTTCTAGAAAACAGGTGGCGTGATACTAGTCACGTGACCTCGCTGACGCAACAATACAAAGCTAATTTGTGTCTGTTCTCACCTTTCAGCCACTTGTTCCTTATACCGTTATACCTTTTCACATTCAAGAAGTACTGTTACGTATCTGCTTGTTACGTATCTGACTTCAGTACATTTCTTATCTTAACATAGCTTCATGGAATCAGCAGACGTTTTAAAGTTTGAATGCATTTGATGATGAATATCATCCATCCTTTCACATAACACTTTAACGAACTCTGGCACATTTTCAGGCAACTCTTCATAAGGTGGGCATCCTGTTATCAGGTCCACTGGCAACCGAAGTACCTGACCAAACATCAGCTTTGCTAGAGTGTATCCAGTGGCTTCATGCTCTGCTATTCTATAGGCCGTCAACAATGGAGGGAGTAAGACACCCCAGTCATCTTGGCGGCTATTACAAAACTTTGCCAATTCCTGTC